CCTCCCCCTACTGCCCACCCAAACCACTAGTATTATTATCTGCTGGTACAGTGTTTGAGTTTAACATGGTACAAATAAAATACCTTTAGTGAATCCACTGTGGGAGAGGGAATTGGGACTGATATTTCTGTAGATGCCAGAAAACTCCCAAATCTATAATTTACGTGGTGAATGATATATGTTGGCAGGGAGTATTTGTGGAGGGAGGGGTGAACATCAATACAACTAGGGGTGAATACAGGGTGAAATACCACCAAAACATAGTCTAAGTATACCTGTGGCTACAATGTCCAATAAAGTAGGCATCAGAGCAAAGAAAATTGATAAGAGACAGAAAGAGGCGTTACATAATGATAAAAGGATCAATCCACTGGGGAGTCATGATCCTAAAAGTATATGCAGCAAACAACAGAGCCTCAAAGTACATGAAGCAAAGCCTGATAGAGCTGAAAGAAGAAATAACCACATACATAATTATAGTTGAGACCTCAACACCCGCCACTCAGCAAGGTATAAAATTACTAGAGACAAAACCAGCAAGGATATAGGACATCTGAATAACATAATAAATTAACAGGATCTATATGACATAAATAGAGCACTCCACCCAATGACAGCAGAGTGCATTTTCCCCCCAATGTCGATGTAACATTCATCAATCTAGATCATCTCCTAGACCATCAAACAAACCTCCACAAATTTTATAAGAATTGAAATCACACAGAATACATTATCTGACTATAATGGACCTAAATTAGAAATCAATAATAGAAAAAAAAAGAATCCCTACACACTTGGAAATGGTAGTTGACTTATTCCACGTTGTCATTCAGATACTTGTTATAGAGGAGCTGAGTTTAGAAAGAGTTGTCTTCTCAGCTGAAAGGCATTTCATGCTGGGCAAAAAGAAAGCTCACTCTGGATGTTTCAAACTGAGTATTGTTGACAGCAAGCTGGAGGGAGAGGGACAGCTTAGGAGGCTGTTTACATCAGTCTTTCTTGACGTTAAAGCTTGTACTACACCAGCAAAGGAAACAGCTTGCTGATTGTTAGCGGGATCAGTTTGGTGGCTGATTATATTTGGGAAGCATGAGAGAGATTGCCTCTGTGGTATTGGTGTGGGTGTTAAGCCTGAGAGAAGGCACAATTCAGATGCCTTCTTGGTGTATGGCTGGTTTGCAATCTAACCCATGGATCACACATTGTTTTTATTTGTTTTTATAAATCCTGTTTCATTCTTTAAAGGGTTCAATATAGTTTCCTCTTCCCCTGCTCCCACTCAGTCACCTCCTTCTCCTCCCCCAAGATTCCTCCCCTGATAGTGCCATCTGTAAAATAAGGTTCTCCTGTCTGGACAAACAGAGGAGTTTCTTTTCTGGGGGTTGTGGGATTGGACCCTTAGGGCAGGTTGGCATTTTGCTTGCCCTACTATGGTGTGAGCCTAAGACATAGTACATGGTAAGTGGACCACTGGTGTATCTTCAAACTTGTATTTCTGTCCCCCTTTTAGAATCCAACGATGGTGGTAACTCACCTCAAGGAAGACAGAGAGTTTGGAGTTCTTTGCGAGGAGGTAATTTTGGCAAGAGTAACCCCCAATATGAACATGGTGGATATGAGCCTCAGCTTTCACACCACCAGGAGGATGATGGAAATGTGATGATGAGGAATGTCCAGGAATACCCCCAAGTAAGACAGTAAGTGACCATACAGCCTGGTTTGCATGTAGCAACCCCTGGGATTATGCAACTCTTTCACTCTACTTGCTCTTCTTTTCCTTCTCTCACTGGAAAATTGAAGAATGCTCAAAGTGGAATAATGGTTGAGCAATCCTACTTGTAGTCCTGGTGGCAGAGAGGTAAGGGTGTATAAATGAAGACTTTCTTAGCATTTATGGCCACCATTCTCCTCTCCACTTCCCTTCTGCAGCACTTTCTATAGCAACCAACAGAACAAGAGGAGAGTGAAATGGCATAATGAAGGCCATATCCATGTTACTGTGTGGAGAGATAAAAAACCTCTGAAGAGAGAAATGAGGGAGAACACACAAGATGGAACCCCAGGGAGCTGGTTCAAGATCACCGTGAGTGTCCTGGCAAGATCTTCATTAGAATATCCTGGAACTTTATCAAAGGAATACCACTTTAAACAACTTTACATCGATTATTTGTAGGAGAGTTTTCCAATGGAGAGAAAGAGGGTTTAGAAAATCCGTATTTTGCACAAAAATAAGAAATAATGCTGGTGGTCCCTTCTTTAAAAGCCCTGTACAGCTCAGTAGAGAGTTGGAAAAGAACACTGTTGGGTCTGTTTTCCAGCTTTAATTCCGTGTTGTCTCTCCTCACTCCCATCCCTTCTTTTCATCTTTAGATTCCCTATGGGGGAAAGTATGAGAAGACATGGCTAGTGAATTCAATCCAGGACCATTGCAGTGTCCCTTTCACTCCAGTGGATGTAAGAGAGGATGGTGAAGCCAGATGAGTGGACACAGGGAAAGAGGGGCTGGGGCGGGGGGAGCCCACTGAGCAGGTAGACTCTATCCTTCAAAATTATTGTTGCCTCCCTCTCCTGTAGTTTCACTATGTGAAAAACGAAGCTCGGTTCTTTGTCCAGGATGCTGGCATTGCCTCTGCATTGAAAGATGTCAGCTACAAGATTTGTGATGAGGAGAACCAAAAGGTATGTTTTGAGGGCATTACCTGTACCTAGTCCCCGGGGTGGGAGGAAAGGCCAGGGGCTGGTGGTCTTCTTTGGAATCAGGGTTCTTGGTGCTTACCCGAGCACCTCACCTTCCTGCAGATATCGATCTTTGTCAATCCCTCTAATGTACCCTACTCTGTGCGGTATAAGTTGAAGCCAGAAGAAATGAAGCAGCTAAAGGTAATGCAGACTCAAGGCCCGTTG